TAATCTTATCCCGTAGATATAGGTAGGCCTTAAGATAAACATAATTGAGATCTAGATTAAGCTCGTTCGATAGTATAGGCAGAACAAAGCCCTCTTCTATAAGACGGTCCTCGTACTATTCTATAGTATCTAGCGGAAGGTACTCTTCTAAATCGAATCCGGAAAGATCTCGTTCTATTAGCTCTAGTAACTCTAGAGGTACTTCAACTATAAACTATATAGCACCCTTACTATATAGGTATCGCTAGTTTAGGTTAGGTATACCGGCTACGATATGCTCTCCTTGCTGCTTTCGAATGCGGTAGTAGTTCTAGTAGTTCGCAAATCCGTATACTATAGCCTTTATAATAGGCATGTATATAAAGAGTATAGCGATCCGGTCGTACTTGAAATCCTTAAGGTATGCACCTTAAAGGTGCAAGTTGTAGAAGTACCTTCGCTATCTTCTAGTTGCACGTATTAGCTAACGCTAGAATATCTCGATACGCTAGTTTATACAACTAGTCCTATACTAGAATATGTCGCTAAACGTAAGAACGACGCCGTTCTACGGGTCTTCGCAAAGAGTACGCCGAAGTGTTATATACGTATCGGCTGTTATAACGGTCTCTATACTACGGTTACTCTATAGAATAAGTAGCATGCCTCGATATTGCTTTATAAAGGCTATATACTATACTATTATAGAAACCGCGGTGCGAGCGGATATTCTAATATAGATCTATATAACCCGCCTAGACTATGTGTCTACGGCGGCATAAATTACGAAGTAGAAGTATTCGAATTTGCAGTAGGCGTCTATAGAGATAGCGTAGTTAGGGCCCGGATTCGTCTAGCTAGTCTAGTTGCGTGCCGTACTATGTCTTCTTCGCTTAACGGCAGCAGGATTAAGATGTAATATAGCTTGCTATAAACGTTCGCGGCTTGAGATACTATACTTTGTATAAAGGACGTCGTATAATACTACTCTGCCGAAGTTATTATAGTCTCCGAGCAGTATCTCTTTCTGTATAATAGTAGCAATATTAAGGAGATACTGCCTCTAGAGGGGCCGAGCGACCTAGCGGTAGAGACCTAGCATAATTAATATATAAAGGTAGAGCAGGGAGAATACGTTATACTAAGTTCGTTTCGGATGCTTCGATAGCGTATAAGGCCGATATCGATACCCTTATACTTAAAGTACTCTATAGCCTGCTTATCTAAGATGCGATACTTATAAAAGAACGTATATACTAGGAGCTTTAGCTAATCCTCTAAATATCGACGATAGCTCGGCGCTCGACCGGGCGCGGAAATCTACTATTACTTTAATCGTTCCTTAAATTGTATACGGCTAATTAAGTATCTAGCATTATATAGCTCCGTACGAATATCCTCTTGCTTCTTGCTAGCTAAGACTTGTCTACGTATCTAATCTTTAAAATAATCGAAGTTGACTCGTAGATAAGGTATAGTAAACGTTCTAATCCTCGACCGGATTATATAGGGGGCTGAAAGTTGCTAAGAGTTGCTAAGAGTTGCTAAGAGTTACTAAAAGTTGCTAAAAGATAGCTAGAATAGCTGTTCCGGCTATAAGGTAGCAGACCTGCTACTAATCCGGGGTTTCGTTAGTTACGCTAACTTACTAGTCGGCGTAATCGTAGCCCTCGGCGGAGTATATAACGGAGCCTCGGATACTATACCCACTATAGTACTGCCGCTAGAGGTGCTAGAAGTTAACGGGCCTAGCTGTTCCTATAAGACCTACTGCCGCCTGCCGGGGGTACTAAAAGTTGCTAAAAGTTGCTAAAAGTTGCTAATAAAGGTTCTAAGTATAAGGCCTACCGCCGGGCGCTAAAAGTTGCTAGAGTTTAATAATAAAGGTTCTATATATAAGACCTACCGCCGGGCGCTAAAAGTTGCTAGAGTTTGATAATAAAGGTTCTATATATAAGACCTGCCGCCGGGCGCTAAAAGTTACTAAAAGTTAATAGTAAAGGTAAAAGTTCCTAGTATAAGAGCTGCCGCGGCCCGCGGGTATACTAAAAGTTGCTAGGGGCTACTAACAAAAGGCCTAAGCATAAGGCCTGCGGCCGGGGTGCTAAAAGTTAACTAGATAAGCTATTCCTGCTAGCAAGACCTACTGCGGCCGGGAGTGCTAAGGGTTGCTAGAACCCTAGGGGTACTAGAAATTAACTAGACTAGCTATTCCTACGAGACCTATAGCCGGCGGCCGCAGGGGTATGTCTCTATATTCGGCGTCGTCTTGCATTCTAGTACGTTGCTCGTATCGATATCTTATGCTTTCTAGGATATCGGGAGAGTATACTAACCTGTTTTTATCGCTCGCTACGGGCAACGGCTATAGGAAAAGAGAACTAGGCTAATTGGTTTATTGTCGTATATAATAGTATTACACTATTAAGCGGCGAATAATCTAGGTAAGTAGCTAGCTTATACGAGAAAAAGATAAAAGCTGTATCGTTGTTATAGGGACGATTCTATTAATAGCCTTCCGATGCGTAGAAGTTGTTACTGCGTAAAGATTAGTAGCGTAGCTTAGCAGGTATTATCCGCGCGCCTAATATTGTTAAGCCCTGCTAAGACCCGGGATTCCGCAGATTACAATACCGACTTTACGACTTTTAAACGATACGACAGTACTCTAACAATATATAGTACGCTAGTAACGTATATAGCACGAGATACGTCGAATAAGCGCATTCCTAGTAAAATCGCGCTAGCAAAGATGTCTAGCACAACAGCGACGACCGTACCGGCTTTAAGAACCTATCTCCGACTAAGACGATACCGTATTTCGAAGAAGGCCGATACTACTATACTATACCTATTATACCGCAGCTACCGGTACTGCAGTATATATTCGGCGCTTAGGGACCTAGGAAGGACCTAAAGGACTAGGATTTAAAGGACAACAATAAGAGCTATAGACTAGGCGTTCGAATAGCGGACCTAGTAAGACAATAAAAGTTAGTAAAAGTTGCTACTAGGTAGCTAAGAAACAGAACAGACGATTTGTATACCGATCTTAGTACTAGAAGAACGGAGCCGACGATACGATAACCGAACTCCCTCCCCTATCCGTAATTCATTAGCTTAATTTGTATGTCTTAGGAACTTTCGTTAACTTTTACTAACTTCTACTATCCGTCGGTAAACCGAGGAGGCTATATAGTACGTAGTAGCTAAGGAGCGGCATTCGAACTTTCGCTAACTCTAGGCTTTTTATAATAGCCTTTACGTACCTTACTTGTATAATGCTAGGCTTTTTACAATAACCTTTACGTACTTTACTTCTATAATACTAGGCTTTTTATAATACAACTTTACGCTGCTAGGGATGATATACTTTACGATATACTCTTCCTTTTCTTTACTTCCTTCTCCTTTAACTAGGTATCGTATATACCCTCTTACCCTCTTTTATAACATTGCCTTAAATACAAGGACTACGTAAGCGGTACTAAAGGCAGTATGCGCGGTAGTAAGTCAAGCTCCAAATTAATCGAATTCGATTATATATTAACTAGATATTTTAGCTGTCTCGCCCTCGCCGCGCTACGCGCTCGTCTAGTAGAACGAGTATAACGTCCTTGTCTTAGTAGCGGCGATTCTATACGGTTAGACGCGAAATAGCGCTAGCATTCGGTATAGACTCGTACTCTAGACTCGAATTACGTAAGAAATGCTAATTCTCGCTTAGTCTAGCCCTACTACTCCCTACTATACTGCCGCCGCCGCCGCCGCCGACGATAACGATAAGGATAACAATAAGGATAACGATAACGATAACAATAAGAGATTAGGTAGTTAGGGTGTTAGTCTTAGTCGCTATTGTTTAGTTAGTCTTGCGCTTACTCGATAGTACGCAATTGCGCGTGTCCGCTAGCGCCGCTTTGCCCTTTTAAATATATTATTAATTAATATACTGCTATTCGCTAGCCTCGCTTTAGCATAAGCACAATAACTTATCCTTTATGTTTCTTCCTATTTCTTCTCTTCTACGGTTGTTGCAATATTACTCGCGATGCTGTCTACCCTAATATATATATAAAGTAAGGTGTTTAACAATATAGATATATACTATCCTACGAACGATACGGAACAAACGACTCTTTAGATTAATAGGTAACGCAGATAAAGGCGTATAAGGCAGCGTTATACGATATAAGTATTATCCGAATACTAGTATAAGCCTAAATGTTGCTAAACTTGTGTTTAATCTTTTAATGTTTTAATATTTAAATAAGAACACTTAAAACGTTAACAATCTATATTAGTAGCTATAACTATCCGTTTACGCCTATATTACGCTTAGAATTATTCTAATATCTAATAGAATCTAGATTTCTGCCTATAGGGCGATCGACTATTGCCGACCTTACTATCGCTATAATAACAGACCGATCTAAACGGCTTAGTATAGCTTTCTGCCCCCTGCCGTCTAAACATTCTACTATATTGCTACTACTACTGCCTTAGCATCTTCGCTGCTTGAAATAATTCATTCGAGAGCGACGACTAAGTACTCCTATCGATATTTGCTCGAGATAGTATATATAAAGGGCACTACTATAAGTTAAACAAACTAACCAATTCTCAGGATTCCCGAAATTCCTAAAATTAGCCTGAAGCCGACCTTCTTCAACTTCGGCGCACCAGGAGCGACGACCTCTTCTTGACACACCTCCCTGTCGCCCTGCACTTGCGCCATCCATGCCGACTCCGGCCTCCATACATCCACTTATCAGCCGCTTATCAGCTCGAACCTATGCACATGCACATGCATCCGGATCGACCTCCTGCTCCTAGCGTGCCACCACCCTTCTCGCCGCTGACTTGATCCTGCTTCATTGTTATCATCATTATCATCATTCTGCCTACACACCACTAGCTTCGCGTCGACCAACACCGCCTGCGTCTGCAGCGACTGCATCTGCCCTGCCCTGCCCTGCCCCGTCCCCTGTCTGCGCCTGTTCCTGCATATCTCGAACCTAGCCCTCTGCCTTGCTCGACTTCCCTTCCCTTCCTCTCCCTCCACTTGAACAATTTAGTCCTCCTGTGCCCGCGTACAGCCGTTCGGAACGGGCCCTCATCGATCGTCGACACTACTTCCACTACCCCACAGCTTGTTGCGGCCCTGCCCTTCGCAAAACACAATAATTTTCTCGGCGGCCCTGCCCTCCGGCGTTCGCATCCCGAACTGGACCCTCTCTCCCACCGCATTGCTTGCACACGAACACCCCGTCTTGTGTCCATGTGCCCACGGTGATGCCATCGAAAGTCGTCGCCACCATCAACTCGACCGGAAGACAGGCTGCCTCCTTCATTAGGGCTGCCTCTGCCGTCGGCTGGCATGTCCGCGCCCAGGTGCGCAGTGGCGAAGGCTTGGTAGCCGAGGAGTTGGCCGTCTTGCCCAACGTCGAGCTGATCGAAGGAGACCTCACTGGTCCCTCGCGCACCGCAATCCTCAATCGACTCTTCGCGGGTGCAAAGATCGCCTTCATCAACACCACGCACTGGGGCAATGAAGTGGCCATCGGGAAGGCATGCGCAGATGCCGCCAAGAGAGCCGGCATTGCCCACTATATCTTCTCCAGTATGCCCGATCATTCTGTATATGGCGAGGACTGGAGGGCATTGCCCATGTGGGAGACCAAGTTCGCCATCGAAAACTACGTGAGGCAGATTGGTATCCCCGCCACATTTGTCTACACTGGTATTTACAACAAGTATGCACACCCATGCCTTCTGTGTTGCAATGCCATCTATGCTGACTGTTCCCAAGCAACTTCACTTCGCTACCATATCCACTATTCCAGATGGAGCTCCAAGACGACGGCAGCTTCGTCTGGCAAGCACCTTTCCACCCTGATGATCCACTACCTTGGCTGGACGCCGAGCACGATGTTGGACCCGCACTGCTCCAGATTTTTAAAATGGGCCCCAGCCATTGGAAAGGACAGAGGTGAGACTGAAAAGCTGTATATTAACGTGCCTGAAGACTGACTTGTGGCAGAGTGACGTTGGCGTTCGAAAAGCTTACGCCCATACAAGCGTGCAATCGCTTCTCACGAGGCGTTGGCAGACCCGTTCGTTACATACATGCACCCATCAAAATATCTGTTCAAATACCGAGCGGCTACCGCGAGCACCTGGACATCTTGCAAGAAACCCTGGGCGACAAACGTGCACCTTACTTTGGACCAGACCTGGAATACCCGAAAGAAGGCCGCAGCATATGGGAGGGCTACCGAGGTCTCGAGGAGTACGCTCGCGAAGTCTTCCCCATCGAGGAGTACGCAAATGGCTTGCGCTGGATGGAGGAGGATGGGAAAAGCCTCACTGGTTGCAGCACGCCCAACTACGAAAATGGCGATTCCATGGGTGAAGGTGGACGATCACGACCTATCACTCCAGCCGGCATGATGACACCTGCGCACATTGTTTCAGCCTACACACCCAGATCGCATCCAGAAGGCGTGCACGCTGGCTTCTTCGTGGGCAGCTGTTAGTGACGGCTTGACGTTTGAAACTCGAATTACGTACGTCCTTATCAGATTGCGTTGCTCATCACATCCATCATCATCACCGGGTCTCAGCAAGACCAAAGAGGATCTCACCACTACCACTATACAAATCTACCAAACCGAGACTTTTCGGGCCGCAGGCGGGACAGTTGAAGTCCGACCTCCTCGTTTTTTTTGATCGGCATTTCTCTGCGACGGGCATGGGTGGTAATGGGAGGGGGCAAGGGAAAAAAAAAGCTACGGTATGCGATTGTTCAATTGAGCGGATTCTTTTTTGAAAATGTTTCGGCCAATCATATTTTGCCATGATGAGACAGACCCACGGCCATCATATCAGTTCGCAGAAAGAAGGAAATCTCACAAAAGTTTGATGTCAAAAGTCCTCTTATTGCTCGATTGAGAAGAGAGATACGGGAAAATTTTTGCAAGTAATAAGCAGGCAGGGAAAGATAGCACAATGCGAAATGGCATGGCATGGCGTGATGACGCAAAGGCGTACTCTTTTTTTTCACCGACTGATTTCTACCAACGGTCTGGGGGTGATTCTTTTGATTGGATCTAGCGAAAAAAAATCCCCATCTTTTCCAATCAAACAAACCACGTGGCAATTCAAGAAAAACACCTCAGATCGGGAAGTTGGAACTAGTAAGATGTATATCTAAGTTAGGGTTTCAGGTTTTGTTGATAAGGTAAGTATGTTCGACCGGGCCGGTGGGGTCCGCTTCCTGCAAATGGTAGTGATGAAGTCCACGAATAGCGGTGGCTGTGTTTATCTACGAGCCACGAGCCACGAGCCACAAACCTAGTGATAGAGTCTACCATCCAGCAGTTACATATACTGATAGCGATGTCTACTATGTCTAGTTATCTACGAGCTACGAGCTACAAACCTAGGTAGGGGAATTGATTGCCGAAGGTATCTAGAGCTTAGGAAGGCTATTCTTACGAGTTACTCCTCTATAGCCATTCGAGGATCCGATCCGTACTAGGCGACGCCGCGATTTGCTCATCTGCCGTGGATTCACCGGCCCTTTCCTTATCTTTCTCGAACCCAGCGGGATGGTTCTGATAGTTGTTACATGTGGTTTCTATGTATGTACCGGATCTTACTCCCGGAACTCGCGCGTTTTGATCGGCAGTTCATGTGAGATTGATGCGTTGGAATCCACTGTTTTTCTGGAGGTGAGAGATTGTGGATGCGGAGAAGATGAGGAGGAGGAGGAGGAGGAGGAGGAGAGGATAAGGAAAGCTTGGTGGTTGGAGGAGTACGATATCTTGGCGATGGGGAGGCGAAGGAAGGGTTGATGAGGTAGACCCGTTCATTTATTATTGACACTACTTATCAGCTTCCCGGCTTCAAATACTTCAATATTTAATTTATGATCTATTTCTTCTGCTTCTTGGCTGGTGGGCCATCACTCAGTCGTTTACGCTTTTCAGCATCGACGAGTGCTCTGATATCGATAGCCTCCACTTCCTCCATATCATCGTCCTCGAAATCCGCGTCCGAGAGCTCGCCCATCTCTTGCGCTTGTGTGAAGAACTTGATTGCATTGGGCCAGATATCTTCGGCGAAACTCACCGCCAAGTCATCGCCATTCTCATGCACCTCAACATCCGAGTCATCATCATCCTTCTCCTCATCCTCCGGCTCTGGAAGACGTAGCTCCACCTTCTCTCCCTTCTTCCGCGCTTCCCTCCGAGCCTGGTGTTCCTTGTTTGCAGCCTCAGATTCCTCGGCGCTGACCCATCGACGCGAACTGACCCATCCGAACCACGTGAAGAAACTGGTGTTGCCCCCGTTCCAGTGCTCCACTTTCTTTTTCAGCGCAGCATATTCCGGTACACCCTTTGCGAGCATATCGCCCGTCTTCTTCCGTGCCTCGAACAGCGCATACGCTCCATCTGTAAGACCTTCCGTAAGGTCCTTCCCCTTTTTCCAATTTATCTTGACGGGCTCAGAAACGAGTCCCACCCATCCATCGCTAGCTCGACGGTAGAAGAACTTCTTCTCGAGAACTTCGTCCGAGAAGCGATCGTTCTCTTTGAAGTGGAATTTGATACTGATGCTGCGCGGCGAGCCCTGAGGTTCAATGTCGAGTTCTGGGCGTGTGACTTCAAGGCTGAGCAAGGATTCGCCGAGAATGCGCGAGTCTTCGGGATGGATGTAGCCGTCGATTTCTGGCGGTGCTTGTTCGAGGACGAGAGGCCAGAAGTTTGGGATCTTTGCAATCGCTTCGGCGCGCTTTGCGTAGGCGCCCTTGCTCAGCTCATATTGCTGGCGCACTAGGAAGGGTTAGAAGTTTTGAGTGTGGCTGGGAAGTGAATGAATGAGCGTACTGATCTCGCTGTCGACCTGATCGAACTCATCCTCGATCGCGGAGAGCTCCTCGTAGGTAACTGGTGATACTTCAGATACTTCGGCCATTGTGTATGTACTGTGAAAGGATGTTGGAGCAGAGAAAGGTGATAGTTGGCCGCCAAAACTTTTTTCGACGCTCCTGTTCCTCGGGAATTAGGTTTTCAGGGTCTCGAGAGCTTGGATCGCGTCAAGGCAGGAACGCGCCTCATCCGACGTCATAACTGCTCGTCAGTCGTAACCTCCTCTCCTCCATCAACGAGAAGACGTCTCTAGATCATTAACAGGTACTAAGGGCATCGAATGCATCGAATTCTGGTCGAGATCATGGCATTCCATGCAACTCGCGACGAACGCACGAAAGCGTGTTGGAGAATCCAGGATTGTAACTCCTGCATCAACAGCAAGCATGGCTGTGGGTGGTGCTCTTCAAGCTTCTCTTGTGTGCCGGCCGACTCCTTACTGGATCCCGTATCAAACCACGGCATATGTCCTCTCGCGTCCGAACGTTTCGAGCTCCGTACAAAAGCTCTGGGATGTGGCTGCTCTACTACTACGCTTCTTAGCGTCATCGTTACCGTGTTTGCAACTATTGCTGCACTCTTGCTGCTTTATGGCGTTGGGCTGGCGTTGAAGAGTCTGAATCCGTACCTGGGATCAGGACAGGCTGCTGGCTGGGAGATTGAGGTCAAAGATGATGGGACCAGGATCGGGCACGATTGGTATCGAGGACGCTTTCGAAAATGGTTTCATTCGTTCTGGAAACCCATGCCTGATCTTTCAAAGCAAAGCGAGCAGGAAGCTGTCACAGAAAGGTCCCGTTTACTTGCTTGATCGCCTCAAAGCCTGATCTGCTAAGGGCTCTATCATCAGCAATGCCTTCGCTTAGCCTGTCTTTACCGTTGCACTACTTCCGGGCCGCCAGACTTTCTTGGACATTTGTAGGAAACATCGTTCTTGTGCCACCGCGGGAGATCTGACCTGATGCACATGTAGTATACTGAGGGCGGCACGCCTCGTCTATGCCTGCAGCGAGTTCGGTACAGGAAACAGTGCGTGGCTGATCACGGGCAGAGTTAAGATCAGCAAAGCAGCCTCCATCTTGAGTGCAGCGCCAGCAAATTTCGAAGTACTTTTCACACGACGGCAGGTTACTCGATGGCCTCACACCTCCCATGTGTCAGCCGGGAGCACGATCAAGATGGCAACATGCTCACAACACAGTGTTGTTCCTGGAGTGCAGGTGCTTGTAATCCAACCCGTGCCAAAGGCATCCACACAAGCATCGCGCTTCAACAGTCCGCTGCTCTCCGAGAACCCAGATCCAAGGCCTCCATAGAGCACATTGTCACCCCCGACCGCCAGCCCGGGCAGAAGAGCGGCAACCTGCTGCGCCATGATCGAGGTTGATAGCATAAGATCAAGGACTGACAGTGGCATAACCATTCCAGTCCTCGGAATCCTGCTGTTGATGGAGAGTGCATGTGAGGGTCGGTGAAAGACGATGAGAGGGCGGGATTCGACAAGGCTGGTAGAGCAGAGCACCTCGGGCGACAGGCGGTGCTTCCACGCCTCAGCCGTTCGCAGAGCCTTTCGCATCTACTTCAAAGTACTGCATCTCAGGTGATGTAGGAGGTAGCCGCCGTTGATAGGCAGCCTCGAGGCTTGCGAAGTTGCGTACTACTACTTCCTGGTCCATTTTCGGATTAGTCTCATCTACACAAGCTCGTGATTGGTTGCACATGAAGACGCCCTGCAAACGCGGCCCAGACTAACATATCCATAGATCACCCAATTGGGCGTGCAGTGGATCTGCAACGAAGAAGCGCCATGTTGAGACCGGCGAGCCGCATGGTCCTTTCGTCGAGATGAAGGCATGCACTCTTCACATGATCTCCTCACCTATATCGCCATGAGATGCATTTCAGCCTTCCCTCACTTTTCTTGCTTTCTGATAGAAATCATTGTCTCCATACAACTTTCTTCATGAACGAAATGCAGAAATACATGTCTGTTTCGGGCGCCGCTCATCCACGTCGCCTGCGGAACTTTTGGCTATTGGTTTCATGCTTTTGTGCCGGTTCAATCTTTACGAAGTTCTCCTATGACAACTGGACCTCGAATAACATCAGTCCCCAGTTCGCCCCGAAAGGATCTCAAGGAGCGACTCATATCGTCGTGGCAAGCCAACGAGGCGACGACACCGCGTGGCTGGATTCCTTACCACAGTGGCCGAAATCTATCTATGTGACAGATGATCCAACTGCAGGATTATCGGTGCCAGCGAACAAAGGTTGCGAAGGAATGGTTGATTTGACGTAAGTTTTTCTCTCAGTCCTTCTTCTGCTGATTAGACTGACGGACAGATGAACAGCTACATAATTGAAAATTACGACAACTTGCCAGCCTCGATCATCTTTTCGCATTCAAAACGATACCAATGGCACAACGACGATCCTTTTTACGACGGCCTGGCCGTGCTTCAAAGACTAAACATATCCTACATCGAGGCGGTTGGATATGCCAGCCTCCGCTGCTGCTGGACACTAGGATGTCCTGTCGAAATCAAACCGCTTCGAGAGGCCGTAGCCGAACACCCTGATTCAGATCCCGATTCACCCAGAGCTAGAGCTGGATCATTCTTCAAAGCAGCGTTTGAAGAGATGTTTCCAGGCCAGCCAGTCCCCGAAGAAATCGGCGCTTCGTGCCGTGCTCAGTTTGCCGCAACGGCAGACACCGTTAGACAAAGACCTCGCGCAGTTTGAGCACGAAAACAGTTGAAATTTCCAACGACACATTGAAGTTGACAGGTGCTCGATCTCCTGTGCTTCCTTTCCTAGCTCGTCTGGTAGCCATCGAATCGGCGAATACCTTGTCGGGTGATCACTGTCGTTAAAAGACCAATCTATGGTAGCAAAGTCAGGCACCCAACACCAGTCCGACAGAAACCAGAGGACAGGACCAGCAACAAGAGCCTCCACTGTTTCCTGTGGTGTAGACGGCGGCTGGAACCGCCATTTTAATGACCCATACGGAGCGCATAGCATGGTTCCTCGATATTGCCTTTTTGTATGGACCGAGAGGAACAGGAGCGAATATTTGGGCCTGGGAAACGTGAGTATTGGATCACTCACTGGCTAGACGTTTCTTGGGGAATGCTATTTGCAACAAGTCTGTGACAACCAAGTGTCCCGTCTGTTACTGGCTGTCACAGCCGCTGCGGAATAGATGAGGTCGAAATCAGCTCAGCATCGACGGCCATTGCTGCCAAGATCTTGTTACTGAGTGGAGTTGCACAAACCGGCTCCGTGGCAATCACGCCAAGCTGCATATAACATGACCACAAAGCTTTGCCCTTCAGGACTTCCTTTGACATAAGGTGTGCGATCACCCCAGCCCAGAGGGTTCACAGCAGGTCTTGCAATACCACTTTGGTCGATGTGAGCAGCCACCGCCTTCCGATTCTTATCAGCCCACGCCAACATGTCGGTCGTCACCTAAATAAGCTTAGTAAATATCTAAAGGGATTCAATGACTCGAAGACCTACGATTTTGTCCAGCTTCGGTGCCTTCGCCGCAGATCCGTCAAAAAGTGCATTTGCCTCCTGCTGCAGTACTGCCAGACGATAAACTGCAGCTGTCATCAATGCAGTCCCACTCGTCTCGCCAAACCAGGTGGTATCGTTGAGATAATTGCGAAGAAGTCCATCTTGCTTCGACGAGTTCATCGCAGCGCTCAAGATCTCACCGATCCAAGTAAAGAGATCAGCCTGCGCGATCTGCGCTGTAGCTCTCGTCACGGTCGGTGGCCAATGAAGCAACGTAGCAAGGACTCTCGCCATACCCATCGCTGCCCAAGCATTACCAGTCGACCACAATCCGACGTCTTGATTTTTGGGTCCGATGATGTGTCGCCATGCACCAGCACTTATAGCATGAGAAGAGACATTGGGCTGAAGGACTTGACGGTAGAGCAAGCATTGTGCCACAGCTTCTCTGATGACGTCGGTGTTATTGATCGAAGTGGCGTAATATGCCAAGAAAGGAGGTGCCATGTAGATGAAGTCTGCCCAAAGTTCGGGGTAATCGTCACGGTGAGAAATAGCTCCGTTGGGCCATCGTGGGACAGTGTCGAAATGTGCGTATTGGCGAGCAACAGCGGCTTCTGTCTTTGGGTCTTTCTGTCCTATAAGGATTGCTGAGACGCCTAAGGAGGCTGGATCACCACTTGCTCCATCTCCGTCTACGAGAGTGTTGTTATCCAGACGTATGTGCTTTCGGGCATAGCTGAGAGCTTCCACATTGTTGGGGTCTGGCTTTGGCGGTCTGCCATCTGGGAATGCGTGGCTCGAGAAGACCTGATTTACGGATCAGTGTGAAGGATTGTAGGCTAAGAGAGTGTAGGTACCGAGAGCCCTGGGTTGTACAACTCCAACAGGGCTTCGGCAGCTGTGCCGTATTCCCAGCTATGGTTGGAGAGTTGCATAGCCTGATTCGCCACTATCCTAGGATTGAAGCCGACATCTAGCGAGCAACAGTCATTCGTTGCTAACGCTTTGCTTGTTAGCAGCAATGCGGCGGGAAGAAACCCCAAGACAGCAGCTGGCATGTTTGGCGACTCCTTTAGCAGAACGAAAATGAAAACTAGCCAAAAATCCAGAGCTGAGCATGCAGTGCCAACGCGGCTCATTTTAAAGAGCCACAAGTGATGAGAGGGCGACTGGAGGAATACATCTGCATGGAGACCCCGGCCGTGGAAACCTTGTACAATGTGCTGTACACCGCGGCGCAAAGTGTTACGAAGCCTAGCTACTAAACCGAGCCCTAGCTACCCGCCCGAGCCCTAGCATACCCCGATGCTAGCACCATTATAGAATCGCTTTGTATAGAATTACGTGCTCTTTCTACCTAATATAGGCCATTTCCGTTCTTAGTTAGTATTATTAATAGGCGCGTAGCGCGTTACTTATAAAGGAATTCTACTCGAATCTACTATAGACCTAAAATTCGTATTTCTTCCCCCTTTTATAGTAGATTGCCTAGTAACTATCGAAAATAGCTAAATCTCTATTATACGACGAGTTTCTCGATAATTTTATCGCTACTAGCGATAATAATATAGTAAAAGGCGCGTAATCGATAGATATAGTAGTAGAAGAGATAGTAGTAGCGGAAGGCGCGTAATCGATAGATATAGTAGTAGAAGAGATAGTAGCGGTAGAAGGCGCGAAATCGATAGATATAGTAGTAGAAGGTACGTAATTAACAGTAGTAGATATTAAGTTATAGAAGGAGGTCTAATTTATTTTAGAGACGCGTATTACGTATATTCGAGGTCGTAGTCGCTTACTAAGCCTTCCTCGCAAGCGTATATCGCTTCTAGACTATCGATTAGTATCGCTACGCCCTTAGAAGTACCTATTCTTACTAAAGGAGCGTTCTAGTAGTCTAATATCGCGTAAGTCGTAGTTTCTATCTTATCGAGCTCTCGAGTCTTATATCTACGCCTTCGGAAAGGCAACTAGGTACGAGTTTAAGCAATATAAGCCGTAGAAGAATAAGAACGGCATTAAATATCGCTACCGATAGGTCTATAGTTACTTCGGCGTACTAGATAAGCGTACGTAGAGATAGGATAAGGTAATATAGCGAAAGTCGGCCTCGAAGAAGATAGGGTATAAGTTCTATTTCTACGCGGTTGCTATCGACCTAGCGTAACCTAAAGGCTAGTAGGTTATTCGCTATTCTATAAAAGAAGACTACAATTTCTATAACTACGAGAAAGACGATATTATCGCCCTTACTAGTATATATAGAAGGCAATCGAGATCGGCGTAGTTCCTCGAGTAACTAGAGCGGCTTTAGTAAGCGCGAATACTAATCTCGAAGATTATAGTATACTTTTAAGGGCGTAGTGTTCTACTAAAGCTAAAGGACGTTAATAATATTACCTAGTCTCGTAATATTAAGGTACGTCGATAGCTAAGCTAGGCTAAACGTATAGTTAAGTTGCTAGATAAACACGCTATATTTTACAATATTATTAACAATCCGGAAAATAGAGCTATTCGGTATATAGTTACGGTTTATCCTCGCTTAATAGAAGCCTTTAAGAAGACGCTATATACGCTTATATTAGATACGATATACTCGACTAATATCTATAACCTCGAGTGAATAGATATTATTAGTACTAGTACTTTAAACGATACGATTAAATTAGGCGTTAGTCTTATCCGTCCGAAGCTAGATAAACCGGACTTCGTTACGCTCTTAAAGGCCGTCCGGAAGGGCCTTAAAAAAGCCGATTGCGCTATACTATCGCTTATTAGTACTAATCGTAAAGAGGCCCTTATAGGTGCTATTAAGGAGGTGTTTCTAGAGTCTACTAATATTGTATGTAACTAGCATCTATAATAAGATATACTAACTCGAGTCCGGAAGGAACGAGGCGAGTTTAGTTAAGTTAAGAGCGATAGTTACTAGATAGACTTACCTTAAACTAACAAGTTTCTACGGCTCTTTACGTATACTATCTATAGTTAAACTAAATGGGAGTCTAATAAGAACGTAAAGAAGTTAGACAACGTATATCCTATGTTTAAGACCTACCTTTATAATAACTAGTAGCGATATAAGGCTTATATTATCGACTACTAGACTAACGAGGTTCTTTACTTTAGTTATAAGGCAACCTTACGAGTTAAAGCTATATATAGACGTATTAAACAGTAGCTTAACTATAGTAGCCGCTAAGATATCTTTACGCTCTTTAAGAGCCTATTATAATAGTAGTAAGAAGGTTACAACCGCCGTCGTATTGCCCTTACTAAGAACCTAAAGAGGTATAATAAGGCACTAGCTAGACTATTCTAGGCGAGTATATCTCGTATAATAAGCGAATATTGCTTGCTCGAGATAAAGGCACTATATTTACGAGCTAACGACCTTCTACTTACTATAACTAACGATAACGGCAACGAGGTAAAGCACTTAGCGTTCTCGTATAGCTATCTATAGTACCGCTATAACAATTACCTTCGTAAGACCTATAGTTATCCGTATATCTACGACTTAATAAAGCTTATTAAGATAGGCGGCAATCGCGCCGTTCTATTACTAAGTTACTTCTACGAGTACTAGTTTATCGACTTCTATAGAATAGTCTATCTACAAGAGCCGGAGGTAATCTTTAGCAACCGCAAACCTCTTACTAGCGGAGCTATATTATATATAACAAAGCGCGCTACTATAGCTTGCGAATTTAACGATCTAAATATAACAGTAGTCGCTAAGCAATAGAAGATAGCGATAGCTAGAACGACTAAGTTTATACTCGAGCCTAGTATCTTACTTACTTAGCTAAGGACGACCGTTAAGTACTATAAGTACGTTAAGAGCTAATACCGCACTTAATAATACCCTTACTAGAAGGCTAATCGTACGTATAGCTCTGCTTGCTATCTAAGCGGCTTTAAGTGCTATAATCTACAAGTCGAGTTTTTACTTCTAAAGATACTAGAGCCTCCTTCTAAGCTAGATTTACTCTACCGAGAGATTACTTCCGAGTACGTAAGAACGCTCGATTATAGGTAGAAGAATAACGTACGAGGGAGCAAGGCTAAGAAATCTAGAGGTATACTATAATACGTAGCGCTATTATATAGCTATAGATGCGTACTAAGTCCGGCAACTCGAAGAAGAATTAAGATAGCGACCGAGGAGGAGATCGATAGTAGATAAGTAAAGTCGAGGTCTTATAAGCGAAGTATAAGATAATATAGGCTCTTAGTCGTATAGAATAACGTACTATATAAATAACTAGACGTACTACTCTTATTTACTTACGACCTATATCCTAGGATGCTCTTCTCGTACTTTTTATATACTTCTCTAATACCTTACCTATAAGCGCTCCGCGACAACCGAGTAAATATAAGCTATAGGATTTCCGCTCGGTACCTTAGCCTTCGAGATACGGCGGAGTTGAATTTAGAGGGATAGCCGGTACTCGTAGCCGGTATATAGAGACGGTAGTAGGCCTCTTCCTACTAAATAGCTAGCTTGTTTAGTATAGCCTACCGTAGTATAGATATTTCTTATATTTCCTAGTAATAGGCCTAGGTTACTTATAAGATTACTATAGCTAGTAATAGAATTACTAAAGAATATCTATACTATAGGAGGATACTATTATTACGCTAACTATTTATTAAAAGGAAGCTTTCGCCTATTACTATACCGGCTATAGGTACCGGCTTTATTTTAAAGTTTGCCGTACCTGCCTTTTTTAGCCGTAACTACCCTTTTTAGCCCCCTCTATCTTCTTTCCTTACTCTAACGTTACTATAATATAGGCTTACGCGACGCTTACTCTATTATTTAGCGATATTGCGATACTACCTCTCTTGCTATATATAATCTTTATATCGATACCTATACCTCTATACTCTATATCTACTACCTCTATAATACTCTCGCTCCGCGCGTACCTTCGTAGACCTTCGTAATATACTTTTTTATTAAATCGACGACTTTTATAATACCGAGTCTACTTAACTAAGATCCGATATCTTATAAGAAGGGACCTAGTACTTCTACGGGTTATAATAAGACCGGAGTTAGTAGAACGAGTATAGTATATCTACGTAAGAAGGCTACTACTACTACCCCTAGCTCTAGTACTAGAAACAGCGTCGTAGGCAAGGCTCCGTATAAGACAACGACTAGCGCTTCTACTACTAGTAGTAACAATTATACGAAGCGTCGATAGCGCCTAAGAAGTAAGTCCTATCTATAGCCGGTAGCCTAGCTAGTAGCCTAGCCGGTATTCTTACTTTTTTTTACTAATCCTTCTTAAGCCGTAGCCCTTCGTAAGATTCGGAGGTATTAGAGTATTAGTAAACTCCTAATCCGGAAAGCTCCTTTCTAACGACTTGTTTGCGAAATTGCCTAGTTATAAGAAGGGTATATTAGCAGGTAGATAGGGTAGTAGTAGGTACGAGTAGTATTCGATAAGGAGCTAGGAGGAGAGGGAGGAAGGCAGGCAAGTTAGCCTATTGCTAAGCGCTAAGCCCTACCTAAGGCACTAAGACCCTAGCTTTACTTAGCCTAGTTATATACCAATTACGTATAGCCTCTTTAGCCCTAATATACGCTTCCCTTCTAAAGGCCGCGCCCTCGTAGCCTGTCTATAGTCTACGACCTCTATTGCCGCTAACTTAGCAAGTCTAATAAGCTGCTTAGCCCGCGCTAAATTGAACACTTAACTACCTAATTATATAACTATGTTAAACCTTACCTCTAACAACACAATATACAACTCTAACTACGCTATCTCTATATATAATGAACTATAAAGTAATATGTATCTATAAGAATTGAAGGCCTTCGACTAATTATAATACGAGCGCGTCTTCCCTACTATAATAGGTAGACGTACGAGGTATTGTAGCACTACCTTCGTTCTAAGTAATGTCGTATCGAGTTCTTTGCGTCTACTCTTAAAAGACCTAGCAATGTCCGCTTCCGAGGGTTGTCCGCTTCCGAGGGTTTGTTCTTGTTATTACGAGGGCTATTATTTACTTTTTAGAAAAAACACAGCTCGTCTAGTTTCTATAAGTAAAGGCTATTATAAGTATAGTAGTTA